CTGGCACTTAGTTAAGAGGTTTTATTCCCTCCCTAACTTCAGGGGAAAATCCCTACCTGGGGAAACAACCTTTCTCAGAGAGGTGACCTTGGTTAAAACACATAGTGCCAAGAAGGTGAGCAAACATATTACGAACAGTATGCCATATATGCCAGGTCCCTTGAAACAGCAAGGATGGACCGGCTCCCGGCATGTCTCTATTGCCGAAAGTTCCGCATACTCTGCACTGGCAAATCCCTTTCGGTCCTGCCCGATCCCGATTACTCACCTTCGGGTCCCTGTTCAAGAAGCCATTTGTTTTTGTTCTGTTTGTGAACGGTGACGCTGAGATGAGCTCGGCGTGCAGGGTTGAGTTTAGAGAAGCAGGGGCTATTGCTAGTCAGGCAAGGGGCACAGCCCCCCAAAGCTCTCATGGCTTTTATTCAGGGAGTACAGCAAATAACAATGGAGTACAGCAAGTGACAATGATTAACAAGCATGCTTATGAGATCATCTGAGCTAAGTTATACATTACACTATTAATTGCCTATGTTATACAAAGACCCTTTCCACCTGCAGCAGTGTACCCTCCCTTGAACTTTCCATGCCCTCATGGACTATTTATCACCTCAAGGAAAATTCTGCCTCTGAACAGTAAGTCTTGTGTGCAAGACTTTTTTCTGACGTGGCCCGCTTGCAGGCCCCCGCCTTTTCTTGGCAGAACGTCCTCTTCTAGTTAACTTTATTCCACTTGACCAACTACAGGGCTGGACACCAGGTGGGGACAAAGGCTGTCAAAACACAAAGCTGACCCTTTTCCCATGGTGCTGGGGACAGGTCCTCTCTCCCTGCAGGGCAGCATGATGTGTGAGCAGGAATCCAATGGACGCACCGCTGCATTCTGGGAGTTCGGACTGGATGGACAGATATCTCTCCGCTTTGACACAAAGAACGGACACTGGACAGTGCTGCGCGGTGAAGGCATTCTGTTAGAGCGAGCATTGGCGAGTGACAGAGCTATGACCGATCTCCTTGTTAGGACCTCAACTGGAGACTGTAGGAAGTGGCTTCAACAAGTTCTGTGTCCCCTGAGCACACAAGGTAACTCTACAGAGGAAATGAAGTTGTAGTTCCCTTGAAATGACATTCACATAGTGTGTGGTGTCTGTGTGTTGTGTGTGGTTTGAGAAAGTGACCCATCCACCATGGTGAGGGCTTTTTGGAGAATAAGGGCCATAGGTATGATCTGCGATCCCTCCTTGGGTTTCTCGCTTCCTCATGTCTCTGCCTGCACATAACCTTGGACCACTCACTCACCGGAGATTTCTTGCTGACTGCAACCCTGCGGGCACTGTTCTGTTTCCAGACCTTTTCGTTGTCCTGTTCCCTCTTCACAGCATCATGTGTCCTCAACTCTATTTCTGGAAATCCTTTAACACCACCTCACATCAGCCCTGCGAGGATTCTCTGCCACCTCCCTCAGGGTCACCTCCCCTTCTGTCCCAGCAGGAGTGATTATTGTAACCCTTGGGGCCAGGGCCAATCTCCTCTCTTTGCTCCAATCTGGCACTGTGGCTGCCACACGTGGAGGGTAGAAACTGCACAATAGGATGACCTGGGACAGCAGGGGCTGAGGGGCATCTCCATGGAACTGGGTTCTGCACGGTTCTCACTCTCGTGTTTCCATTACAGCTGCACCAACCACTGCCACAGCCACAGTCCCGTCCAAGGCCACAACCAACACGCCCATCACTTCGGTCCTCCCTGTGGTCCTCACCTGCGCAATCATAGTTGGCATCTTAGGCTGGGCCTTTAAGTAACAGGTACTGAGGGCTTAATCATGTGGGAAATGAGGGACAGATGGCCTGGGGTGAGGACAGGGAAAGATGAATTCCCAGCCTGACCCCTGATCCCGCCCCCCTTAAACTTCTCCTCCTGGAAATTAGACCAGGAGACTAGCACATGTTATCACTTCACAGCAATAAGTTGCACCAGCTCAGCCCTGAGAGCTGCTGTCACCTCACTGTGGATGCCAGTGGGAAAGGGAGGGGCTCCCACCAAGGCTTAAGGCCTGTAGATGCTGAAGGGGTTTGGGGATCTCATTTCCTGATTCAGGTTCTCAGTTTGGGAGACTGTGTTTGGGCCCAGGATGGGTGGTGTGGGGGCAGCAGGCACACGGCAGGGGCAGTGCTCACATTCAGGAGACAGCAGCATGCTGGCGCCATGTGCTGTGTCCAGGGGAAGGGGAACACCCAGGGGGCTCAGAGGAGAGTGGCCTGGGTCTAAGCCCAGGAAGAGGTGGAAGGCCTTGCAGACCCAACTCGAAAGCCTGGAGCTCACAGAACGTGGCTCTGAAAGGCCCAGTAAGGGGGGAGGCAAACCTTAAGGTTAGAAGGAGGCCTGGGATTCCTGGCTGAGCCCTGGTGTAATCACCTGACAGCCAGCCTCCTCCACCCGCCAGATCCTGAGCCACTGAGGGGCCCCTATGAATAGGGCAGGGCTGGGATGATCATACTGAGAGCTCTGTGTGCTGCTGGGTAAGAGGCTGGGAGAGAATAGAAAAAAGGGGTGTTTGTCTGTAACCCTCCCCTAGCTGTCAGGTGTCAGGATGGGCCTTCCTGTCCATCAGAGCTCCCACTTGGTCCTTAGACCCTCCCACCCCCCAGTGAATCAGACCTGAGTGAAGGGAGCAGATGGAGTCATTACTCAGTTTACTCCTGAGCTCAAAACATCTGTCAGGGCTGGGGTGACTCTGATGTGCAAAAGGTGGGCAGAGCTTGGTACAGGCTGCTGGTCCCAGGGCAGGGGTGGCAGGTTCAGGGAAAGATGTGACTCTAGTGAGGGCAGGTTCGGATATGGGGAGAGTGGGGTTCTGTAGCCCCAGAACTGACCCAGGGTTTCCTCAGTCACTGGGACCAACACTGGCCCTTTTCTGCAGGCTGCCTATGCGATGGGACCAGGAAGGCCCTGGTGGTGTGGACCATCTCAGCGACTCTGCCTTTCCTTGGCTGCCTCTGCATGACCTGCTGCTCAGTTTGAGGACACCAGGAGCTCCAAGCTTCCGCCCAGAGACCAGGGTCAGTCAGGATGAGACAGTGGATGCAGCATCTCATGTCCATTGTTGCATTGCTGATTATCCTCTCCGGTGCTTTTTTTAAAATATATTTTATTGATTTTTTACAGAGAGGAAGGGAGAGGGATAGAGTCAGAAACATCGATGAGAGAGAAACATCGACCTACTGCCTCCTGCACACCCCCCACTGGGGATGTGCCTGCAACCAAGGTATATGCCGTTGACCGGAATCGAACCTGGGACCCTTCAGTCCGCAGGCCAACGCTCTATGCACTGAGCCAAACTGGTTACGGCTCTCCAGTGCCTTTTAAACATACCATGTCACTTTCTGTGGTCGTAAGAGATGTAATTCCTACATTTAAACATTAATAGCTTCAATAAGAAATCTCAACGAAGAGAACATTTTCCATCTTCTTGTGGAAGATCAGATACATCTCTGCATGTATTATTTTCAAGCAGATAATACTGCCAAAAAGTGCCAGACATTAGGGTTTTTTCCTGTGTCCTCAAAAGCAGTCACGTAGGCAGCAAAGGCGACGTGCTGGGGAAGATGGAAGACTGTGAAGGTGGAAGACCAGTCTGCGAAAGAGACTACTTTTGTTGACGAAAGAGCAACTTTGTGAAAGAGGCTATAGAAAGTGCCACTGGTGGCAACACCTACCAGCTCAGCAAGGTCAATTAGTGGACCACAAATGTAGTAGAACAGACTTACACCAACTCACCAAGCTGGGAAACCATTCACATACATTGTGACCTGTATAAGCATGTAGCAGAACGGAGCAGGACTACACACGGCGAGTTCTTGCTTCTGGGACAGCTCTACTGACGTCCTCAGTGCCTTCAGACTGTCCATCTGACTGACCTCATCAACCTGGGTTCTGTTTCCTCTGTCTCAACATTTCCGATCTTCTAGCCACTAACCATGAATTCAGTGAACAGCTTTATTTACAACTGTTTTTATTGCTAGCTTATATCAGTATGATGAAATTTAAATAAACATCTTTGTTCTAAGAAAGTTAATTACTTTGGAGTTTTGTATTATTCTTTTTTTAGATAATTTTTCGTTTATCTGAGCCAAACATGACAAATACCAACAGCAAGATCTCAAATCCTGAGAATAACAAGGTGTGTTTTTTTTTTTCTGTCTAATGCTCTCCAGGTCCATCCCTGCTGTCTTAGAAGGGAAGGTTTTCTCCTCCTTCCTTTTTGCTAATCCTCACCGGAGGATATTTTCCCATTTAATTTTATAGAGCATTAAAGGGAGGGGGAGGAGAGAGAGAGAGAAACATTGATGAGAAAAACACATCAATTGGTTGCCTCATACATGGGTCCCTACCAGAGCCAGGGAACAAAACTACAACCGAGGAATTGAACCTGTGACCCTTCCATGCTCGAGCCAATGCTCTACCACTGAGACACACAAGGCCAGGACAAGATTTCCTTCCTTTATTGGCCAAGTAGCGTTCTATTCAGTAAATGTATCACATGTTTTTATCCACTCATATACTGGTGGGCACTTGGGCTGCTTCCAAATCTTGGCTATTGTAAATAGCAATAAACACAGGGGTGCATATATTCTTTCCAACCATTGTTTCAGGTTTGCTTGGATAATATATTCCCAAAAGTGGAATCATTGGGTTATAAGGCAGTTCCACTTCTAATTGTTTGAGATATGGAGATTTGTTTTATAAACCAGTAGAGAACTCACAGCATTTCACTGTTCCTCCATGTCAGGGGTAAGTATTGCCAGTGATTCTGCTAGAATTTCCTGTGAAAACATAGAATGTAAGGGGGCTCCTTTTTTTTTTTAAAAAAATTCTCACTTGAGGACATGCTATTCTTAGGAAGAGAGAGCAAAAAAGAGAAACACTGGTGTGAGAGATTGATTGGTTGCCTCCCCCGTGCACTGAATACACTGCTCAACACCATAGGTGCCCCCACCTGGAGTGAACTCCCAACCAACCCAGGCATGGGCCCTGACCTCTCCATTCATAAGATAATGCCCAAATGCTTTAAAAGAATTAGACTGATAATTATTATTTGTAGGAGTGCATTACATATTCTGAATACCGATCCTTTGTCTTGGAGCACTGCTTCTCAAAGTTGTATTTCCCCACAGACAAAGGATCGGTATTCAGAATATGTAATGCACTGCTACAAATAATAATTATCAGTCTAATTCTTTGGGCAAATGCTTTGAGCCATTCACAGATGGTGCATAAGCCTGTAAAAAGATGGAACGTGCCCAGGCCAGTGTGGCTCAGATAGCTGGGCATTGTCTTATGGATGGAGAGGTCAGGGCCCATGCCTAGGTTGGGAGTTCACTCCAGGTGGGGGCACCTATGGTGTTGAGCAGTGTATTCAGTGCACGGGGGAGGCAACCAATCTCTCACACCAATGTTTCTCTCTTTATCGCTCTCCCTTACTCTCTAAGAATAGTATGTCCTCAGGTGAGAATTTAAAAAAAAGAGCCCCAGCCAGTTTTGCTGAGTGGATAGAGGGTAGGCTTGCAGAATGAAGGATTCTGGGTTTGATTCTGGTCAAGGGCATGTACCTCAGTTTCAGCCCTAGCCCTGCTTCGGGTGGGTAGGAGGCAACTAATCAATGTGTCTCACATTGATGTCTCTCTGTCCCTCCTTCCTTCCACTCTCTCTACAAATCAATGGAAAAATATCTTCAGGTGAGGATTAACAAAAAATAATGAAAATAAAAAGATCGATGCCGAAACCGGTTTGGCTGAGTGGATGGAGCGTCGGCCTGCAGACTGAAGGGTCCCAGGTTCGATTCCGGTCAAGGGCATGTACCTTGGTTGCGGGCACATCCCCAGTAGGAGATGTGCAGGAGACAGCTGATCGATGTTTCTCTCTCATCGATGTTTCTAACTATCCCTCTCCCTTCCTCTCTGTAAAAAATCAATAAAATATATTTTAAAAAAAGAAAAAGATTGAACGTGCCCCAAATCAACAAGATAAACAATGGGATATCCTTCACACCCATGACACTGACAAAATGTCAGTATCTCTGTAAGAAGTGGTAGGCAGGAAATGGAATGCCAGCCACTCTCTTACATTGTTAGTAGGAGAATAATTAAATCACTCCTTTCACATACGTGTATGTCACCACATCCTGATAGTGGATGAGTTTCTCCTGCTCCTCAGAAGTGCCAGTGTTAGTTCCAGGCTGGCAAATGTGGACCAAAAGCATCCAGGTATGTGGGTGTTTGTTCTAGTGTTATGTGTCAGAGCAAAGGATGAACAATAAGATCCCCTACTGAAGTAGAATATATTTTTCAACGTTGTTTAAAGATTTCTGTTTTTCCCGACTGAAGGCAAAATAACCTGAACTCTCAAAAAATAAAAAAACCAGAATGCCTAATGAAATAAACTTTTCAGATATATATTTGAGGACTACTGGTTAATGTACAATAATATTAGCCACATAAGTCTAAATGTATGCACAGACATTTAAACATTTTACAGGCCAACAAAAAGGGCAAGTAAAAAACCATAACCCACATCTTCTAAGTATCAAGGAAAAAATTCCATCAGTTAAAGCCATCAGTTCCTTTGAGTCTGAAGGACATTATCAGAACAACTGTTGACATTTGAATGGGGTCGAGGACTGGATTGCAGTAATGATGCGCACTCTATTTTGGGGGTTGTGTGGAGGTGATATTGGAGAGCGTCCTGGTTTGTAGGAGAGACACACAAATGTATCGGCATCAGAGGACATCACAAAACATGGGGACCTCAGTGTGACAGGTTCCTGTCCTACGGCTCAGGAAGAGAAGTTCTCTGCACAGGACCACAACTTCTGTATCAGTCTGTGCTTGAGAAGGTTTTATAGTTATTAAAAATGGGACTTTAAGAAAACCATGATTTTCAGAATTTGATGTAAGAAAATGGATGACTCAACAAACACAACACAGGTCCTGTTCCCTTCTCACCCGTCTGTGCTCCAGTCTTGTTAGCTGCTCCCTCCTCCACCTCAACAGCATGGCCAGCCCAGGCCTTCTAGACAGAAAGCAGCTCAGGCCTGGAATGGGCGGTGTGCAGACTCTCATAGATCCTGAGCCCACTGTGACGCAGGAGCTTCCAGGGAACCAAGTCAGAAAAGGGCTTTCGACCAAGTCGTGTGTGTGTGTGTGTGTGTGTGTGTGTGTGTGTGTGATCCTCCTTTTCTGTCCCATTTCACATCCTGAAATCTCCAATACCCCAAGGCCAAGCCACTGCCCTATTTGCTCTTCCTCACCATCATGACTAGGCTTTCTGTTCACAGACCACAAGGATGTGAATGGATGGATGGATGGATAGAGAGAGAGAGAGAGAGAGATGTAAGGCCTAAATTGTTTTCAGATGATAGATAGATAGATATGCTTATTATAAAGTATTGGCTCATGTGATTATGGTGACTGTCAAGTCGAAAACCTGAGTGTAGGCCAGCATACTGGGTCTCAGGAGACTAGTGTGCACAGGAATTCTGAAGACAGTCTGCTGAAGAATTTTTTTTAGGGGGGGTGAGGGGAGTCGATGGAGGGTGGAAGGAAATCAGTCTTACTCTCCTTTTCAGGCCTTCAACAGATTTGACAAGGCCTACCACATGGGGAGGACAATCCCCTTAACTCCAAGTGCACCAACTTATTACATGTCCCCAGGCTAAGTTAGTCATCTCCTCTCCCCTCCCCTGTGTCCCAACAGCCTACTCCACAGTCAGAATACCACACCTGCTGAGAGGCGCATGTATATTTTGTGCGCCATACTTCCTGTAGTCATTGGAAATGCAATGTGTCCCTTTTTCAAATGTGTAAAACAGTACAGTAGTCTGGACACGCTGGTACTCGATCATCCGGTGCTAACTTGAATTCCCTTGGGGAACAGGAGCTGAAGGAGGGTTCTCTTCAGGTGTGGGTCTCACTGTAAACGTAATCACCCTTGGCAAACCATCCTGACTCCATTCTTGCAACCCCACCTCTGCTCAGTTCACCACTAAGGTCACTCTGGCCGCCCCCAATAGGGAAACCCTAAAGCTTTCTTGCCTTGGCTCTTGTCATCCTTAAAAAGGTCTACCCTGTGAACATGTCTAACTGAATGATAACCAGACATCTGCTGTCCCTCTCAGTGCAATATGAGCTCCGTGAGGACACAGCAC